TATCACCGATTTTGACTAGGTTTTGACCAGTTCCGATACAAAGCCGATCCGATACTTGACTCGAACCAGTTTGATAACTGGTTCGCCGAGTTTTGGGTCAACCCGGCCGGTTCGAGCCAAGTTTGATAACACTGAGGGAAACAATTAGAAAATATGGAGAGAGAAAGAGATACAAATTACCTAGAGTGTAAGGTTATATCTAGCAATATATTTTTCACTATATTAATTCTCCTCATAACATTCACTACAAGCACTGTATTACAATGGGATATGAATAGGGTCTGCACCGGCCGTTAAGTAATAAAAGTGTACCAGAGTACGAGATCGTTCCCACGAGGATCGGATTTCCAAACACTAGTTCGCTAATCGCTATTTAGTTGGACAATCAAGAATAAGATTTGAGAGAATTGAAATTGAAAAGAAAAACAATCAATAACATGCAAATTAAAATTCAAAATTAAAGAAGCAATTAGAAAAGATGAGTGATTTAACGATTAAAAACAAGCGTAGTTAGGGTTTCGACTTCCCCTATTTCCTTTTTATGCTATGAATTAAGCAGTCAAGAACCTTTTCTTAATATAATGCCAATCAATTCTTTCTAAGTTAATTAGGGCTCAATTCCTTGTTACCCTAAATCTATGTGATCTTAGAAGAACCCTAGTTCCCGAGTTATTCCCCAAGAAAACATGCATTAAGATCAAGATTTCAAAGATTGCACAATTACCCTATGTCTATCCCTAGATCACAAAGATTGTGATAAATTTACCAAGTCAGGGTTTATGCACCAACATCCCTATTGTCATACAATTCTCCTAAATCAATCTATAAAGAGCAAACTGATAGAAAGCATTAAAGACAGATAAATTTATTCAAATACAAAAAGAAAAGAATTCAGAGACAATTTAATTCATAAAACATAAAGATTCAATTGGGTTCCATCTACCCCTAACTACATAAAAGTCTAGCCTAGCATACTGAATTCAAAAGCAATAATAAAGAAAAGAGAACCCCAAGCCTCCATTGCTGTGATGTTGACTTGGTTCCCCAGTGTTCCAACGCTGCGCAACAGGATTCCTCCCTCAAGTCTCTGTGTAATTCTCTGGATTGGTTAATTGGTTCCTTCCATTGACCCCAAGCTCCCTATTTATATCCTTTGAAGCTATATCTTTTTAATTCTCCATCTAATCTCCCCATGAATCTTCTATCAATTAATAAATCAAGATTGATTTGTTTCCACTTTCATTCCAAATATTACAAATCTGTATCAATTGGCAAATCAAATTAAATCTTGGGCTGATTAGGTTCGTATTTGGGCGCTCAAGCGCGCTTTAGGGCGCTTGAGCGTCTTCTTGTGCTCAAATTTAGGAACTCTGCCTGCCCACACGTGCTTGAGCGGCCAACTGTGGGCTCGAGCGCGCTCCTCGAAGGTAAAATCTTGCATTCTTGGGAGCTTGAACGTCCTGGATTGCTCAATTTAGCTGTTTTTCCTGCCTAGACACGCTCGAGCGTCCATTTCTGCGCTTGAGCGTGCTATTCTGGCCCTTGAATTGTATTATTTTGGCTTCCTTTGGTCATATTGAGCTGCAACTCTTTGTAATGATTTCTTCATCACTTCTTAGCACCAATAAGTGTGGTTTTACCTTCAAAATGCAAAGAAACTCAAAACGTTAGCTCAAATTCCTATCTCATGATTTATATGTTGTAAAACCTTGAATTCCATGCAATCTACTACATATTTCTTATATAATTTAGCCTAAAAATATGGTAAACCAAAGATTAACATATAATCAACAATTAACATCTTTTCCTCAATTCAAATCTGAAAGTTAATGTTAAGTAAGGTGAGGATTTATATGGAAAATGGCTTATTCATCTTCATAGGTTTTCAAAGAATAAACAGGCCTAGGCTTAAAGGAGTTTAACTAAGGAATGTCAGCAATGGTTGGCTATTTGGCTATCTAGTTTAAAGAAAGAACACGTCTCAATCATATCCAAAGAATATATCACATACCAATTCAAGCAAGAAACAAAGCAAGTTCTAGAGTCTTTCATACAGTAGGATGCACACTCAATAAAATTTTTCTGTATAGGCTCAAAACCTCACGACTATGAATGCACAGTAATTTCCCTATTCTTTATCTTCAAAATTTCATCACTTAATTAATGAATCATGAAAATCATTACATTGATGCTTATTATGAAAAAATTCAAGTAAAGTCATCATCATGCTCTGAATCAATTACTGGTTAAAAATTCCCGCGATTTTTCCAATTAAAACACTGAGTAAAACTTTCAAAATTTTCATAAACCATGGCTTGGGGTTTTTATTAATTAAAACTCTAAAGAATTAAATTCAAATTGCATTAAAGAAAGAAAAAGGTTGAGATGATTCCCTGTACTAGTCGAATATTCTGTGTATACTCATGAAGTTTCTCCGGTCAATTAGCACTACCGGCTGATGACTATGCGTTTCCCATTCCCAAATTTAAATGTTGCTGTCCTCAGCAACAAATTTAAATCTAAAAAGTTACGTTGAGAGTTTAAGAACTAGTCGATTCCTCGTGAAACAGCATCAACAAAAACTATCTGTCAACAGCGCTGAAATACCATACTGCAACACAGGGTTATCTCATACCATAAAAACATAATAATCTCATATAAAATCAAACTGAAATAAAATAAGAAAATGGCTAAGGTGGTAAGTCATCAAGCTCCTCATCCTCCGCATCTCGCATTATCGCGGGTGTCATGACAGTATCCTCTCCATCCTCCTCATCTTCGTCCTGGCCCTCAGTAGCTGGAACTGTGCTGGTCCCTCTCTGTGCAGCATCATAGGCATCCTCCTCCTCTGATCTATCATAAGGCTCATGCTGGAAGGCTGGTAGTCCATCTGGCTGGGTAATGCTGAGGTATCTTAGAATGTGTGTCTGGTACTCGAGCTGTCTCCTCTGCATATATCGGTTCCTTCATCGGATGAATCCTACTTGAGTCTCTAGAGCAGTCAGTCGACTCTCTACAGATCCTCCAGCAGCTGGTAAGAAGTCTCGTTGGCCTGGGTGGTGTGGGTCTAACTCGCCTCCGCCGTCCTGCCTGGGCTGCCTCTGCAACAGAACCATCCTCCTCTACTGGTTGCCTCAATTTGTCAGAAATCCACTTGGCTTCAATGGTTGGCAGCAAGGAAATTGCTCTTCCACCAGTAGTGGGAATCTCTACCCCTGTTGTCTGACACATGTACTGTATCAAAGAGCTATGGCCAATGGATGCCTTCTTGCTGTTGCTGTGGGCCATGTCATACAGACTGTCGGATAGGATCCTGGGTAGGTCTATGGGCATCTCCTGCATAATCGCCCAAATCAACACTGCCCTCTTGATAACACATATTTTGTTACACTTATTTGTTACTCTTGATTAGTATTTTTAGGATTTATTTGAATAAAATAATGATTGTTAGAGTTAATTTAGGTTTTTAGTTTTTAATTGGGTTTAATTTATTTTCGTCAGAATTTTTCAGCTTTACGTTACTTCTGTATTTTGGCCATATCTCGGTCCATAGTTGTCGGATTGACTCCGTTCTTGTTGAGTTTTTCAGATAACACAGAGAGCTACAATTCTTATGCAGAGCTCTAAGCCCAATTCGGACTAGAAGCTGGTCGATTTTGGACACCAAGTTGGACGCGTTTTGCTGAAGTTTTGTTTGACTATTGGGCTTGTAATTTAAATTAAAACCCAATTACTTAAGTGGCCCAAAGCCAAGTTTTATTGTTTCATTTTATTTTATTCGGTTTTTTATTTTATGTTTGGGCTGAAGCGATGAAACCCTAGCCGTCCTGCGTGACGGCTATTTAAAGGGGACTCTAGGAAACCCTTGGTAGTCAGTTTTTACAACAGAGAAGTTCTCTCTGAGTTTTTATTCAATTGCGTTCTTCATCTTTTTTCTTCTTCTTCTTCTTTTTATTTCAATTATGTTTACCTTAGCCATGCGAGGCTAAGAACCTTTTAATCAACCTAAGGGTAATGGATTCCATGGATTGGTCTTGAGGATCTGCGTTTATTTCAAATCAGTTTTGTTTCCCTTCCCAACTCAGATTGATATCGTGCGATCGTGGATATTCAATCTGAGGTTCGCAATTGCGATTATGGAAAGGGATTAATCATCAGATTTGATGATTAGGTTGATTGACCCTATGACCTTAAATCAAGCGGGCTGATACTCTGCGATTGTATGAGTAGAAGCATCGTCTTTGATCAAATGCTAAGCGATCACTTAGAGAGGGTTGTCAATTGGAAATAAGGATTCTGATCCGATTGACAAATCAATCACGATTCTGATATTTTCTTATCCGAGGAAAGACGTCCATGGATCCCAAACCTTAGGTTGGTTAATTTTTAATTACGAATTTTTATTCCAAATTTATATTCTTCCTTTTTAATTATTGAATCAAAATCCAAAACCCCCCTTTTTAATTTTCTGTTCTCATAAGCGATTTTAACCAAAACAATTTCCTTGAGAGACGACTTAGGGTTTCCACTTTACTGCAAATTTTCTGAACCCTAACTAAAGAATTAATTTTTAATTTGCGCGAGTTCGACAGCTCGTGTCAAATTTGGCGCCGTTGCCGGGGAAATTGCATCGGTCTAAATCGTTTTCTGATTCTTGATCATCTTCTTTTTCATCTTCATCTTCTTTTTCTTTAATTTTCGTTTCTGAAAAAAAAAAAATTAATTTTTTTTTTTTTTGTGTCTTATCGTACGTTTCGTGATTTTACTGCTGTATGCTTTGCCTATGATGCATGACTAGGAGTAATACCAGTGTTGATGATTTATATGCATATGACCCTGAGATAGATAGATCATTGCATGCTGCTAGTAGAGCTCGTAGGTTGACTTACAGTAGAGTTGTTCCTGAGCATACCTTAGAGTCTGTTGAGTCTATCGAGTCTGTTTGTTCGAGTCCTTTACATAGTGTTTATTCGTTTGGTCATTTATTTGATTCTGAAATCATGGGTGATAGAACACTTAAGCAATTGGCTGCTCCTAATGTTGATAATGAGCAGCCCTTGTGTATTCGTTATACTAATCCTGTTGTACCTTTTGAGCTTAAGTCTGGACTAATACACTTGCTGCCCAAGTTTCATGGTCTTGCAGGTGAGGATCCCCACAAACATCTGAAGGAATTTCATATAGTCTGCAGCACTATGAAGCCAACAGGGGTGGATGAGGAACAAATCAAGCTGCGTGCTTTCCCTTTCTCTTTGGACAGTGGAGCTAAGGACTGGTTGTACTACCTGCCACCTTCCTCCATTGTAAGCTGGAATGACATGGCCAGATTGTTTCTGGAGAAATTCTTCCCTTCATCCAGGGCCACTTCAATCAGAAAGGAGATCAGTGGCATAAGGCAAGCTAATGGGGAGAACATGCATGAGTATTGGGAGCGATTTAAAAGGCTTTGTTCAAGCTGCCCACACCATCAAATTCCAGACAATCTCCTGCTTGTTTACTTCTATGAAGGGCTGCTGCCTATGGATAGGAACCTTCTGGATGCAGCTAGTGGAGGAGTCCTGAGCAATAAAACACCTAATGAGGCCAAGGAGCTGATTGCTGAGATAGCTGCTAATGCTCAACAATTTGGCACTAGAGCAAGCAGCAATGCAGTGTTCCAAGTGCAAACTTCTCCAATGCAAAATCCAATAGTGGCAGCAGCAGGAGCATCAAGCACAGATAACCAGAGAATAGAGAACAGGCTTGATGAGTTGACATCAATGGTGAGGCAGTTGGCAGTGACACAGACAGTGCAACCTTCTGCTCAACAGACAAACAACCCGTGTGGCATCTGTTGTGATCCTTCTCATCCCACGGATGCTTGTCCTTCCTTACATGACAGCGGTTCCCAAGTTGACCAGTCTGTTGCTGCAGTTTTTCCTGAAAATCCACAGCACCAGCACCAGCAGCAAAATAATCCATTCTCCAACACTTACAATCCTGGCTGGAAGAATCATCCCAACCTCATATGGAACCAGAATCAGCAAAATGTTCCATATCAGAGTCAACAAAATTTACCATTCCAGCAGAGGCAGCAGTTTGTGCCTCCACAACAGAGGCAAAATTTTCAACAATTTGCCCCTCAGCAGCCAATGCAGCAGCAGCCACCAGTGCAGCAGCAAGCTAGTAGCAATGGCCCTTCTTTGGAGGATTTAATGAAACAGATGGCCACTAGCAATCTGCAGTTCCAGCAGAGGACTGAGTCTTCCATTCAGAATCTGCAAACACAGATTGGCCAACTTGCAACATCAATGAGTCAGAATCAACAAGCAAGTGGTAGCTCCCTTCCATCACAGACAGTTCCAAATCCAAAGGGAACCGGCAATGTTAGTGCCATCTCTCTGCGGTCTGGCAAGCAACTGGAGGAACCAAACCAATCTGCTGTTAAGTCATCTCAAGGAGGTGACACTGGTTCAAGGAAGCAAAATACTGATACTTCTGATGTCCACATCCCGTTACCTTTTCCTCAAAGAGCCACTCAGTCTAAAAAGCAAGCAGCAAAAGCTCAAGATAAAGAGATTCTTGACACCTTCAGAAAAGTAGAGGTCAATATCCCACTCTTGGATGCGATTCAGCAAATTCCAAGATATGCTAAGTTTCTGAAGGAGTTATGCACCAACAAGAGGAGGCTGAAAGGAGATGAACGAGTCAGCGTCAGCCAGAATGTGTCAGCACTCATCCAGCCCATGCCCAAGAAGTGCCAAGATC